TTTTTTTTTTTTTTTTCTTCATTTTTTTCCTCATTTTTTTCTTGTTTTGTGTCTGAGGTTCTGTGGAGAAGGTGTCCGTGATGAACCAGACTGGTTGGGTAAAGGATCGTCTTCTTAACCAGGGGGCCAACCACTTTGTTATTTTCTCATCACTTGGTCATGTACTTGAGAGTAGTGGTGACTTTCAGGACGAAGAGAATCAGAAATTAGCGTTTACAATAATGCAGCAATCTTCGCAGGTCCTGAAATCAGGAGAATCGCTTAGGCGTATTACCATGACGTTTGACGACGTAGTTTACATCGCCACAACTATTACCGGTCAGGGAGAAAACCTTGGGGTATTCGTTAAGAGACCAGCAGCAGATGTGTTGATATCGAATTAACCGTTTTTGTTTTTTCTCTTTCTCAAGTTGCGCTCCTTCTCATCCTGCCTATATGATAAATTGCTGAGAGTCCCTATGTGAGGTTTTTTTCTGCAAAGGTATATATTATGCTTGTGTGTCTGTTTTTTTTTTTGTTGTTGTTGTTATTTCTACCTGCGCAAATAGTGTAGGCCTTTGGGCAAGTTTATTTTATTTTTTACTCTTGGTGTAATGATGGTGATAAGTATATTATATTATTATTATTTTTTTTTTTTTTCATTTTCATTCTTTTCCTCCACCTCCCCCTCCCCCTCCCTTCTATTTTTGAGAGGACAGTACTTGTGTCGTTCGATAGTGGTTATTTAAAGATGAAACAATGCGTCCTTGTAAATTTGACTTGTGGAAAGGTAGAGATGCTTCGGGTTGGAAATAATATAATTGGTCGAAGTGCCATTCCCGTTTCTGATGGTGTCTCGTTCATCAGTTTAGAGTCTCCTCGAGCTGCAGTTAGTCGAATGCAAGCAGTAATTGAGGTGGCAAAAAATGGAGATGCTTGGTTGAGAGATTGTAATAGTACCAATGGAACTTTTGCAGCAGTTGGTGGAGGGATTGGTATTCGTCTTGAACCGGAACGTTTCTATCAACTTAAACCGGGAACTCGCATTACCTTTGGAGATGTAGAAATGCTATTTGATTGTAATAGTCTTTCACAAATTGAAACACAGGTTCAGAAAAACGGTATACTACATCCTACACCGTGTTCGCCGAGCACAACGTGTACAACAACTCCAATTGGACCATGTACCGAACTTCTACATGGTAGTGGTACCTCTCCTGTTGCTCCTACCAAAACTATTAGCAGAACCATAGATGAAAATACAAGAGAAGAGGAGTTAGTGAAAGAGGGAGCTACCCCAACAGTATCTAACGCGAGAACAACGGTAGAAGAAAACAGACGAATGGATTCATCCGATAAGCTTCACGCAGATATATCACGCGGGAGCTCTAGTGGAGGTAACGAGTCTGTTCCATACCTTGAAGAATCAATTGGCACACGAAGAAAACGAGGACGTTCAGAGTGTGATAAAAAAATAGCACGAGCGACGGTATCTTCTTCTCTTGCTAATTCTCCTCCTCCTGTGCCCCCTCCTCTTCATTACTCTTCTTCCTCTTCTTCAGCAGCGGCAGCAGCAGCAGCAACAACAACAGAATCACAAGGAGTGACGGCAACAATAACACCCTCTCGCTCTCTACGATTTGCGTGCTTCTCCGGTATGGACGGGGCGGAGCGAGCAGACGCGCAGAAGTTGGCGCGGCGACTCGGATGGCGCGTGGCGGAAGATATTATCGACGCGGATCTTCTCGTTGTTGGCAGACCTGTTGCCCGTACACCAAAGTTTCTCATCGCTGTTGGACGTGGTATTCCCATCGTAACAGAGGACTTTCTCACAGATGGCGAAGTGTTAAACCTTAAAAAGTATGTTCCCTCGCTAAGCCACGGGCCTCATACATACAGTGCAGCCGCCTTGCAAAAAGTTATTTTCCGAAACAACAAAACTCCTTTATTGCAGGGGTTCTCTTTTCACTTGGGTGGACTTTCACCAAAAGTGCGTAACGTTGCACGTGAAGTCATCATTGGCTGTGGTGGTGATATCCCACGGCGGCAGCAACAGAAGGACACTGTTGCACTAACGGAGGAGACTCTTGATAGTCTCTATGATTCCGTTTTGCGCGGTATTACTCCATGAAAATGAACATAGTAATATGACTACTACTGTAACTTCTGTTAAGATTTGATGATATTAGTAGCAGTAGTAGTGATGGTGAAACATTTCTCCCTCTGTTTTTCAATTTTTCCTCTAGTTTTTTCATCTTCAATTTTTATCTATCTTACACATAAACTCATATCTATTCCTCTTAATTACCTTTACTGCAGTGTGTTTATGTTTTGGTTTTTTTGTTTCATTACCTCTCTTGCTTTTTGTTTGTTTTTTGGCTGTTTTTTTTTTATAGAATAAAACTCTGGAAAGTGAGGTGAAACGAAAAGAAGAAAAAAAAAAAAAAGGAAAAAGAAGTATATTCAGTATAATAAAAAAAAGAACAGTATCGTTTAGTTATTCATTTTTCTTATTATTTTATTCACCCCGCTTTGAGTGAGTGTTTATAATATCATGCGTAAACGTGGGCGGTGCCTTTTGGATGTGTCTAGCTCTTTGGATAGTTTGATGGCCTTTGGAGATGGTTGTAAAGTTCCTATGAGCTCCTCACTCTCAAACAATGGTGACAATGGTGATTCACAGAGTAGTAACAGTAATAGTATCACGAAAGACAATAACAGTGCCATTTGTTCTCGGTTTGCTGCAAATACAAGTTGTGATCAAATAGATTCTCAAAAGAGTACAGGAAGTGCATTTGCCACCGAAATAAGTTTTTTCTGTAAGGAGGAAGAAGAAACAGCAGATATGTGTATTTACTTGGCAAGAGCTGTTTCTTCCGCACGTACACAAGAGGCTCTTATCGCATTGGTAAAACATTTTATAACCCATGATCCTTCAATTGTTATGATGTCACTGAAACGCTCAGGTTTACAATCAAAACTTTTGGACATTTTATGTAAAACCTCCAATGAAGGAATTAAAATTGAGCAACAGTGCCTGTTTCTTCGTTTTTTTGTATTTATTGTTAAACTCTGCGATATTGAAATTCTATGTGAAGTTTCACTCATAAAATTTCTTCTTCTACACTGTAAACCACCACAGGAGAGTTCTAATGATGTGGTCTCTGTAAAGACACATCAGTCATCGCATTGGTCTCAGCGAGTAAAACGTACACCTACAGTAGCTGTGTCACAGCGACAAGATATAACTGAATTAACTTTACTAATAAATACTCTATTGGGAGAAAAAGAAGATAAGACGTCTCTGGCATCTCTAGCCCTTCGAGCACTACTAGATATTACTTTTAGACAGAATAGTAATTTAGCACTATTCGCTGATAGTAACATTTGTCTCATATTTGCTGAACTTGGTGGCTTTGACATTGTATCAGCTCTGCTTTCTGGGAATGAATGTGAAGATGCTCTTCATCTATTGGAAGTTGTAACACTTTGTGAGGGACTTCGTACAACTCACACGTTAGCTTTAAGGCAAACAGCTCTTCATTTGGTACGTTTAATTACTGCAGATGATGATGAACATCATGGAGAAATAAATGCCGCATTGCGTGTTTTAACAAATGTGACAGGTTTGGTTCCCTCTGTCTTGAGTGGAGAGGATAAGGAGTGTCATGCTTTGGCGACTAAAGCGGCGAAAACCCTTTTAGATGATGAGGCTATGCCTGATACACTTGCCTTTACTTTATGCTTTACAACAAACATTGTGAAATGGGAGGCTCGTGAGGGTCACACGAATTTTACCAGTTCTCTTGTAGAATCTCCATTCTTTCTTACACGCATCGCATCCTTGACATTTCGTGCCTACCACACCGAGGACACGGAGAAGAATGTGTTGGCTGGATACTACGCCCTCCTCCTCGCTGTTCTCTCCCTCTGCGCGGCTCCCACTTTGGAGTTGCGGGTCCCCGTCATGACTGCAGTGGCCGAGGCAACGAAAGGCACGGTAGCAGGGAAAAAGGTGGAGTCAAAACCCATGACACTTATAGTGGCTCTTCTACAGGAGTTTATCTTCTTCCAGAGCTCCGCTGGGTCGTTAACTAAAGACAGTCTCCTTTCCATGAATAATATCATAGAAAGTGTTGTTAAACACAACAACATAGAAATAACTTCAGATGATTAAAAATAAAATAAAATTTTATTTCCACTTACATCAAGTAACATTTTTTTTTTTTTTTTGTTTCTTCTTGTAAATTGTAAAACTCACAGACTTGCTATTTATAATTCCATTACTATTATAAGAATAATAATTCTAATCATCATCATCATCTGTGTTTACTTCTTTTTCTTAATGTGGAATACATTTAGAAAAAGCTAATGATTTTAATTACTATCCTTTTTTTAGATTTTAATCCCTTTTGTTTTCAACTTGTTTTTTTTTTTTTTTTTTTAAGGTTGGGTCCTATTTTTTCGAAGAGGCTTTCACGGAAGGGAAAAGTTTTCCCCTGTATATTTGAACCAGTAACCAAAAGAGAGAAAAAAAAAAAAGAAAGCATACGTAACAAAAAAAAAAGAAAGAAGTGACATAGTAGAGGAAAAATGTCAGTAAAAGTTGTTGTCCGCTGCAGGCCACTTAGTGTGGATGAGAAGCGTGAGAAAACTAACATTATCGTACGTATGAATGGAGAAGAGGTGCAGGTGGTTGACTGCATGGAAGGGAGAGGTGGAAAGTTTTCCTTTGACGAGGCGCTATGGTCTGCTGATGTGGAGGTAGATGGTAACTCAAACCCACATGCTTCGCAGGATGCCGTATACAGACCTGTTGCGTTTGAACTATTTAACCATGTTATCACTGGATATAATGGTTGTATTTTTGCATATGGACAAACAGGAAGTGGTAAGACATATTCTATGATGGGTACACCAACAGATCCTGGTGTTATTCCTCGTATTGCCAAAAATCTTTTTTCAGAGGTTCAAATCCTCAATAACAGTGGTATTGAGTCGTGTGTGGAGGTGTCATTTTTTGAGATTTACAACGAGAAGGTGCGTTGCCTTCTGTCTCCTTCCGATAACGCTTTTGATGATTCTACACTGCGTGTGCGTGAACACCCAAAATTTGGTCCTTTTGTGGAAGGTCTTACGAAGTTTGTTGTGACCACCGAGATGGATTTTCTGCAGCTTATGCATGACGGCAACAAGGTGCGCACCGCCGGGGCAACAGCAATGAACGCCGCTAGCAGTCGCTCACACGCAGTTTTCGCCGTGACACTCACGCAACGGCGAGCAAACGGACGACTTGTGACGACGAAGACGTCAAAGTTAAATCTTGTCGATCTTGCCGGTAGCGAGCGGGCGTCAAAGTCTCTCGCAACGGGAAAGCGACTCGCAGAAGGCGCAAACATTAACAAATCACTAACATGTTTGGGAAATGTAATAAGTGGTCTCGCAGAGGAACAGGAAACGGGTAAACCACGCCATATTCCTTACCGTGATTCTGTTCTAACGTGGATATTGAAAGATAATCTTGGTGGTAACTCCAAAACGGTTATGTTGGCTACTATTAGCCCATCTTCTGCGCAGTACGAAGAAACTATGAGTACCCTGCGCTACGCCGAGCGTGCAAAGAAAATTGTAAATAAGGCTGTTGTTAATGAAAGTAATAATAATGAGGTCATTGCCGCTCTTCAAAAAGAAATTGAGGAACTTAAGAGACAATTGCAAGGAGCATCAGAAGGTGAAAGGGCTAAGCTATCAGATGAACTTGCAGCAAGTGAAGCCATACAGAGGGAACTTCAAATGTCTCTTGAGGAGAAACTAGCCGAAACAGGAAGGATGATGGAAGAACGTGAAAAGTATATGCGACAACTTGAAGCAGAGCTTGAACAGCAACGTGATGAAATTAAAAATTTGCGGCAAGACAATGCTGAAAAGGAACGTGTAATTGAAAAACTTTTGCAACATATTGAAGAGGTACAGAAGAAATTAGGTGTTGAAGGAGCCGCTGAAATAGAACAACTGTTAGAGCAAGTTGCTCTCTTGGAATCAGAGCAGCATGCGACAGAAATAAAATCTTCATTAGCAAATAATACCATCTCTAGGGCTGCTGACGACACTACATTAAGACCAGAAGATCTTGGCAATGTACGGCCTAAACAGTTGGAGAGTGGTAAAGTTACTGTTCGTGCTCTTGCAAAGGCTTTTGAATCACTAGATACGGAGAACTCGGTGATACAGAGTAAGTCAAATATAGATGAGTCGTTACACTTTGATCCCATTTCCATGCACGTACGTACTTTCGAAGGAAAAAACAAGGATGAAACGGTCATCTCTGACACAGATGCAATGTTGTTGGAATTGCTTGATGAGGATGAAAGTCCTAAATATCAGAAGCAAGGAGAAAAAGAAGAACATGAACGACGATATAACAAAGATAACCTTGACATTGATGAAGGATTAGAACTCGACCTTGAGGAAGATGCGGATGAGGATATAATTCTGGGCGATGAAGATGATCTTGAGTTAGACTCTGATATTGATCTTGATATTGATGACAATGAAGCTGAAACAGAAGTAACGGCAAAAGGAAAGGTATCAGAAGATGTGGCAGGAGGAAAAAGAGAAAAGGGGGTGGGAGAAATGGTAGAATCATCAGTAGTAGATAAAAAGGAAGAGGAACATCCAAATGATGCTGAACTAGAGAATCTTATGGAGAATGAAATAAATGAAAAGGATGAAAAATTCTTAGTTGATGAATACTTGGAGATTGATGATAATGAGGAATCTGACGTTTACAAGGAGGGATTGATAAAACAAGAAGTTAACGACTCTGAGGATATTGTTAATGCTGCTGCTGCTCTTCCTATCGAACCTGGAGCTGCTACTGGTGTTACCGAAGATTCTGTTGTGATGATTAATCCTTCCAATATAACTGAAGAAGTAATAACTGATAGTAAAGCTACAGATCCAAAAATTGTTTCTCCATCTATTATTGCTTCTACTACTACTACTACTACTACTACTACTACTACTACTACTACTACTACTACTACCACTGAACCTACTACTACTACTGCTACTACTACCGCTGAACCTACTGAGGGTATTTGTGCAACTTTTGTACCTCAGCAAGGGGGTTTTCTTTCACCGTACCCTTCTATTACGACGCTAGTAGTACCCTCTCATGCTCTTCCTAACAATCGCTACCTTCATGAGTTGTTTAAGGTGGTTAAGGTGAATGATGCAGCATTAATTGGGAATAAAAAAGACCGTATTTGGGATGTTGACTTTTTCCGACGTCGCTTTGCAAACCTAGATTTGGCTGGGTACATGTCATTTGAATATCCAGCTGCTAATTTATATCGTGTCGAGAAGGACCCTGTTCATTCTCAACGACTAAAGTTATACTTTTTTGAGGCACCACACCCGTATGAACTAGAATTTACTTCAAGTGAACGTCGTCAGCGTTTCTATGAAATTTCAACGACTCTTCGTCGTAACTCAATTATGTGGTGTCCTTCTTTGTGTCTTGAGGGTGAGAATGATATTATCTTAAATGTACAAGGAACTACAATTGAACGTCCAAACTCTAAATTAGTGAGGGTAAATGGTGAAACGAAGTTTATGGTTGCACGTATGCCGTATGAAGTTGTAGACATGTGGTATGGTTGTTTCTCGATGCGTGGTCATTCTTTGCCACACAGCGCAGCAGTATTAGGTAGTTTTATGCCTAAAGAGTCTCACGAGGTGTATATAATCGGCATCATGGATGTACCACCTGATTTTATCGGAAATGAAGAGATGTGTAAGTACTTTCTTAATTACTTGGGTACTGCACAATACTACGCTCTCGCAAATACGACTTTACATTCAAAAAAAAGACATACAAACAATGCTATTATAATTATTGTACGACGATCTTTTATTGTACGTTCTTCACATATTGAAGCTGTAGAAACAGCCCCCGTTCTTTCTGAAGATGTTCAAGGATGTGATTTTACAGCTGTGGGATGTTCGCTGCGTATTAATGAGGTCAGTATATGTGTTATTCTCCTTAATGCGAAACCGACAAATTGTCCTGCATCATCAAGAGCGAGATGCATGCGAATGTTAATGTCTAGTTTCCCTTTTGGTGATACTCTTATTGATATTGGGGCACGGTTTGATTATTTTATAGTTTCAGGTGCCTTTAATTTTGGTGCAGATTTTAGGGAAAATGACATGTTACTCGCACAGATTAAAGCGTTAAATCTTATGTCGGATATGGTAGAAGCACCACCAAGTGTTGCCTTAATAAACTCACCAGAACCAATACGAATATTTTATTCAACTCGTCCACGCGTTTCTCGCCTTGACGTAAAACAATATACAACATCTCGGGCTTTAGCCATGCCTAATGCTTTTGTTTCTATGGATATTTATTGTCAAAGAGCTTTTTTAAGTGTTTTTGGGGAACAAGTTCATCGAGTACAACTGGTTTTGGATAAACTTATTTTTTCATCACCTACTCGACGTATTCCTCCTATTTATTTTTCAGAATTACGTATATCTGGTGAATGGATTGAAAACAGTCCGTTATTTACATCCGTTCACAAAAATGGTGATGCATATACAATTTCAGGAGGGGAAGTTCCTAGGATAGTACCTACTGTTAGTAATATCGATTTTTTACGTCTGCAAACAATTAACTTTTCCTTAATGGGTTCTCTTGATCCCAAACCCAAAAAGAAGAAACAGATAATACCTATTGCATCTTGTGTTTTACCATTAAAGAATATGTTTCAAATGGGTGAAGTTCTAGAGTTCTCTATACCTTTATATTATCGTGCTTGTAATGTAGGGACATTAACTGGTACTCTACTTTTGGTATTGTATGAAAAGAATACTGCTGATCTTGCTAGCTTTCCAAATAAACATGACGTATTTTTGGTCTCGTGTTATGAAAATCAAATACTTGATGGAAAGAATTGGGTTCCTACTGTTTTTTCCCAACATCATGCATACAACTTCTCCTCATTTGACGCTACTGTAGAATGCAGTAGAGAAAGTTATGAACTTCCAGATCCAACGAAATGGATATGGCTCAATCTTTGGCGTCATGACTCACTTCCACACGAAAAGGAGGGATGGATGTACTGCGAGGGGTTTGATCAAACGTTTTACTTCAAACCTACCAGGTCAAGTATTGTGCGTCGCCGTCGTTGGACACGTGTAATGCAAGCAAGTGATCCCATCACCTTACACAACTACTTGCTGTCGTTGCAGTCCACTGGAAAAGGCTGAATAAGTAACTGAAAGGTATATTATTGACATTGTAGTTAAATGCCATCAAGTATTTTTCTTTAAACGATACCTTTTTTCAAAAAGAAAAGAAAAAAAAAAGGTGAAAAGATTGAAAATAAAAAGAGTTTTCTTCAAAGTAAAAAAAAAAAAAGAAAAATAAGTAAAGGTTCAAAAGGAGAAAAAAAAAAACTAATTCTCTTTGCTATTTGCTTTTTGCTGTTTTTTTTTTTTTTTTTCGTTTTCAAGTGCACAAAACGAAAAAAAAAAGAAAACTTAGTGACTAAATTGGGAAGATTTCACCCTATATATATATATATATATATATATATATATTCTGTTTGTTTGTGTGCGTGCGTGTGTTGTATCTGTTATTTTCACTACTCTGTGTTTGTGTTAGAAAAAGAAAAGAAAGAAAGAAAATTGAATGCGAGAGGTTGTCTATGTAGCTTGTGAACATTCGTTCCTTGTAATTATTATTATTATTTCTTCTTTTCATCATTTTTCATTCATCTGTACTGCTAGTAGACACAGTAACGGATTATAGTATGCCGCCAAAGCTTAGAAGTAGAACCCCAACTACAGTGAATGGTCCATCGCCTAGAGTGCTGTCTGGTAATGTGGCGCAACGTCCTACTGGGAGTGCGTCTGCAGTGAAACCGGTACAACGCCCTTCTTATGCTAGTAAATCAAGTAATCTTACAGCATTTGGAAGAAATGATATGGAAACTTACTTTGAATCTCTTTTGGCTTTGGACCGTTCTGATGGATTGGATGCTATTGGAACGAAAGGAATCGCGCGGCTTTGTGAGGATCTTTGCATAGCAAAAGATTCATTTGAAATGTATACACTCATTTGGAAAATGAACATCACTAGGGGTGAGTGCATTCCGCGTACCGACTGGCTCTCAACTATGTACACTTATAAAGTGGAACAATTATTAAATCTTAGAATGTTGCTATCAGAATGGGTAAAAGAAGCAAAGAGTACTGCGTTTAATGAGTTTTACAGTCATCTATATGACTTCATTCGTGGAGAAGATGCTCGTCTCATGCCAACTGATAGAGCCATAAAAGTTTGGGGAATTCTATTTGAGCATGATCCTCGTATAAAATCGTGGATTCAATGGTACTCACTTGTCTACATGCGAGATGTAACACGAGATGTTTGGCAACAGTTGGGCCTTTTTCTTTCTAAGGTCCCAAACATTGAAGCCTATCGTGTTGGTGATAAATGGTCGTCTGCAATAGATAACTATGTGGAATGGTACAAGTCCTCTCAGTGACTTTTGTTCTTATTATCCTTTTTACTTTCAATTCCACAGAGAGAGAGAGAGAGAGAGAGTGTGTGTGTGTGTGTGTATTTGGGAGTGAGGAACCCGTTTATTTTATTTTATTTTTCTTCACTGTATTTTTTTTTTTTTTTCCTTAACCAGTACAAAACCATTTCCCCTTTTATTTCCTTTTTTTTTTTCGTTCTCGGCAATGCATGCACATGGATATGTATTTTTGTAGATCAAAATATCTATTTGTTTGTACTTTACGCATACTTGTAAAATACAGTTTGCGAGGGATGTCAGAAGAAGTCTCATCCGGTTCAACTTCTCCAGGAAGTTTGAAGGTAAAAATAGGTCAAGATATAGTAAAATCTGATATAATTAAATCTGTTAACACTCCCAACATAAATGGTGACTATAACATACATGCCGCAGTAAAATCAAAAGACATGGAATCTCTTGAAAAAGTTTTGAAAGCTGGAGCCAATCCAAATCAAGGTACTGAAGGAAATCGTCGTGGCTACACCGCTTCTCATATGGCGGCTGCATTGAACGAAGTTGGGATGCTTCTTCTTTTGAAAAAATATGGGGCAGACTTCTCCCAAGCCTCTGATGATGGGTGGAGACCATTGCATTCGGCTGCGTATCGTGGAAATCAAGATGCCATGCGTTTCTTGTTGAAGAATGGATGTAATGTTAACTGTTCCAATAATATGGGACAAACACCCCTTATGATAGCTTGTAATCGTGGAAGAGAATCTGATGTTCATTTCTTGCTTTTACATGGAGCTGTAGTAGAGCCTTTTAAAGAGCCTGTTGATGGGATTCTTCATCTTTGTTTTCATTTTCAAATGTCAAAACTTTTCGAGGGTATGTATGAAGTACCAGATAGACAAATTAAAGTTGCTGTTATTTTGGCTATTTATGGAGCCTCAATACACAGACAAAACGAGGAAGGTTTAACAGCATTCCATTACGTTAGAAAGCAATTTCCCACCGTTGAAAAAGTTTTACAGATTCTTTCCACAAATGGAAGTAAGTTTAAGCAATCCAAAACATATTGGGACTATGATACTATACTTTCATCTACAGTTGATGATTTTGAGAGTATTGGACTCGAGATACAGAACTCTATTGAACTTTTCAACTCAATGAAACAACTAGAGGAAGAACGTATCAAGTGGAAAAAACACGATCAGAATGGTCGAGGTTTCCCACCACCTTTGTTAGAGCCAAATAGCAGAAAGTGTCCCTTTTTACGAATGACTTCTTCTGCAGGTCTTGCTAAGAGGGAGTCCTCTGTTATGTCTATTTCTTCCTCTTTTATGCAATATCGAACTGCCGTCTTAATGGGATTGTCATTTACTTCTGGAGTGATACTTGGGGACCTCTTTCGACGTTTTCGTTCAGAATAAATCTACCTGCGTTCCTCATTGTTTTTCTTTTTTGTTTTCTTTTAAAGAAAGTATTTGATTTTGAATTTAAAACGTTATCTATCAGGAAATATGTAATATGATGGGGTCTCCGCTACTGTACCTCCTTTTTCCCCGTCTATTATTTCCGTATATATGTTTATATATATATATATATATATATATATATATGTGTGTTTGGACGTAACATTTATAGAGGGGATTTGATGGAAAGATTTGAATTTGATTTTATTTCTTTTTACGTTTCTCTCGCATCCTTTTTTTTTTTTCTTTCTTTTTCCCTTCTTTTTTCTGAAGACATGTTGCTATGTAGGGAACCTTTGAACTGTCATGCGATGGAAGACCCCATCGTATGGATTCTTCCTGTGGTTTGTATTGAAATGATTAATTTATTTCTTTTCAGATTATGGGCTCTTTTCTCATATTAAGGATACACTTGCACAAATGAATGGGTTGAATTATTATTCTCTCTTGTTGAGATTCTGCAACAAGATTCGGATGAATTCAGATGTGAACTATTTATTTATCTTACCCCTTCTTTTTTTTTTTCTCCTTTTCAATGTTTTTATCTTGCATTGATTCTTTCTTTTTTTTTTTGCCACTCTGCGGGAGGCGAGGGCGTGGTTTCTGAGAGAAGAATCAAAATTAGTGATATGGGTGGGGGAGAGAGTCTAACTGCTTCTATCACTTTTTATTAGTGCAGCAAAGGTATGTGAGGAAAAAAAAAAAAGAAACTCTAGTACCTACTTTATAAATTTGGTTTTTTTTTGTTTGTTTGTCTTTCTCTGTTTATTTTTCACTTTTACCTTTACACTCTTTTTTTTATTATTATTATTTGAAGAATACATATAAACGGTTAAGCGAATGGCACGTGGCGGTGGCTTTGGTGGCGGTGGCGGCTTTGGCGGTGGTGGCCGTGGAGGCGGCGGCGGTCGGGGCTTCGGCGGATCGCGTGGAGGCCGGGGCGGTCGGGGAGGCGGCCGCGAGATGGAGGCGGACCCACCGGAGACCGTCGAGCTCATCGGCACCTTCATGAATGCGTCGGAGGGCGACTTGGTCTATAAGGTCACCGTGCAAGATGTGGTGCCGCGCTTCAATGCTTTTGTATACACTGAAAACAAAGCCAAGATTGGAAAAATTGACGAAATCCTGGGTTGTACCACGGATGTCATGTTTTCTGTAAAGCCAGTTCCGGGGGTCCAGGCAGGATCTATTAGTGAAGGAGACAAAATTTTCATCTCTCCCACGCAGATCTCACCAATGCGCATGTTCACAGACCCACCGAAACCACGAGGACGCGGCGGACGCGGTGGTGGTCGTGGGGGCGATCGTGGCGGTCGTGGAGCCAACGGCGGTGGCCGCGGTAATTTTGGCGGCGGCGGTCGTGGAAACTTCGGCGGTGGTCGTGGTAATTTTGGCGGCGGCGGCGGTGGTCGTGGAAACTTCGGCGGTGGTCGTGGTAATTTTGGCGGCGGTGGTGGTGGCCGAGGATATGGTCGTGGGCGTGGTTACTAACGTTAATGCCCATGGCTTTTTTTAAAAAAAAAGAAAAACTCATTATTAAGTGTAATCGATTTAAAAGTGCTTCGTTTTGGCATCTAGTATAGATGTCTAGCGGCAGCTTTGAACAAATAGCTTGTGCTAAAATCTGCTTATATTTGTATATGTTTTTTGTTTGTTTGTTTGTCTTTGTTTTTGTGACTATTTTCTTTTTTTTCTTTGCTCGTTTCTTTCCTTTTACTCCTTTTTTTTTACCCTTTATTAGTGTCATAACATTTAAGCTGTTTTTCATACTACAAGGTATATGGTTGCATCGCTAGGGTTAGTAGGACGTCGCGTTCTATTTTTAGGGCGCCTAAACGTTGCCAGAGATTATCTTCCAGGTATTCTTGTCATTCTTGCTATACCAATATGCACTGTAGTCTTTTTTAGGTTCACACTCTTCAACGCATTAGTACTCCAACATGTTTCATATAATTGTTTATTGATTTCTACTTGTTTGGCCATATTATTATCTCTATCGAGTGAAGTGATGATGTTGTTGTTATTTTTCTGTGATCCTGGATTTACGAGTGATACAGAAGATGAAAATAGTCATTACTGCCCTGTTTGTTGTTTGTATGTTCGTGACTATGATCATCATTGTGGAATTGTTGGTGCTTGTATTGGAGAGAAAAACATGGGGTTTTTTGTGTTTTTCTTGATAACAGTTGCATCTTTAATGTGGATCTGTGCATTTTTTTCAGGTTTGCTATGGTTTTTGTTATTGAAAGAAACCACACCAGAGGGCTCTTTTATCAATATGATAATGGTGATGCTAATAAAGGAATGGTGGATGTCATCATTAATAAGACCTTTTGTTGCAATTTCGTGTGTACTTTTCTGTTATGGGGCTATATGTACGAGCGCTTTGGGAATATTTTATTGGGTATATGTCTTTAGGGGACTCTACTCACTTGAACGGAGGCGTAGACCATATCAACGAGGTAATGTTGGTGACGTTCTTAGACATATGTGTCATGCTCAGCTATCGGGTAAGATCCTGGGAACTTTTACCCACGACGAAATATCTACTTAGAGTTAAATATCCGAAACCATATATTTCCAGATAATAGTATTATCATTTTTATTTTTATTTTTTTTGTGTGTGGTGGGGCTGGGTGGGGGACGTTGCGCTTCGATGTAAGGATTGCACCAGTGTTTTTTTTTTTTTTTCTATTTCCCCTTTTCTTTTATGAAAACTAGACATTCTGGTGAGAGCCTATTTTTGCTATTTATTCTCTTCTGACGTGGGAGGGATGTTGTGTAGTTTTTACATTTTTTTTTTTTGTTTGATTGTATATAGTCTTTTGTTCTTCTGTTCTGTTATTTTTCTTTAAATATATATATATATATATCTTTTTTTATTATTATTGTTGCAGATATTCAGGTTTATGTGCGTGGTTTCTCTCCAATGGCATTTTTATTCTGTTTTTCTCTTAATCGTTATATACCTATCACTCTGATTACGGGTTTACCTATTACTTTTTTTTGGCATTTTTTTTCTCTTATTTTTCTCTTCCTTATGCTAGAAAACGAAAAAGAATTCTTCTATTGTACGGAGTGGTTATTTTTCTATTTATTAGTTGTCCCATTTTGTAGAACTATTTTGTTTTCTGAGCTCTTATAGATCTGTGCCGTCCTGTGATTATCTTTTCAGCTGTACACCTTCACATTCATCCTGACTTGCGTTTATGGACACATCAACGTACGAGGATCTCGCGCTCACGCCCTTTCGCTGTGCAGAGAAGCACTACAAGTTATACCGCCAGGACCGTCGCACCGCGCGGCGGCAAAAATTGCCCGAGACAGACTTTACGGACGTTGTGGACTTCCGCAGACTTGAGGCAAACACGGAGGCCAACCGATCGCTCATCCGTGCGGTGAGGTCGGCGGACGATTCACACGTGTTGTATTACACATTTGATGCTATTCCTGGTCTACTGGTATTCCCGGAAGCCGTTACAGAGGCGGATCAACAGCAACTCTGCCGTGATGCCATCCTCAGCTACGGGGATTCCCGTCAACATCCCAATCATCTTTCAACACACGCAAGCAATCCACAACAGACAGAACGGTATATACCACCAATGCGATGGGCTACACTTGGTTTCAGCTACAATTGGACGTTGAAAACGTATTCTAGAGAACAATTTTCATCTTTTCCACTTGTATTGAAAGAACGTATAGAAAAAATAGTATCTATTCTTAGGGATACAATATCTCTTGAATCTGCATATGAACCTCAGACATCTATTGTTAATTACTTTCCAGTAGGAGCAATGATGATGGCCCATCAAGATGTTAGCGAAGAGACCATAGAACAGCCACTTATTAGCCTTTCACTGGGTTGCTCATGTGTTTTTCTCATGGGGACAACTTCCCGTGAAGAAGCACCATATGCTTTTTGGTTACGCAGTGGCGATATTGCTGTGTTTTCTGGGTCTGCTCGGGCAGCCTACCACGCTGTTCCAAGGATTATGGATGACTGTCCATCGTACCTCTGGTCAATGCCACAGGAAACACATAATGATGATAATAATAATAATAATAATAATAATAATAATAATAATAATAATAATACAATGAATGAGAATAGAGAATCTGAGATTTATTGGCGGGAACAAATGCGACACATGCGTATTAACATCAATGTAAGGCAGGTATACAGTGACAGCTGTGAGTATTTATTTAAGTAAGACCGAGAGAGAACACCTGTGCTTGGAATCCTCGCTTTTGTTTCTTTCTTTCTTTTTTATTTATTTATCTCCTTCTATTTATCTTTTCTGTATACTCTATTTTTCTCTCTCTTTTATTTCCTTTAAAGGAGGTTTGCAATACATTGTGGGATGTGTTTCTGTTATCCTTGATTTTTTTTTTTTGTTTTATTTTTCATATATATATATATATATGTATGTATGTATGAGGTTGTGAGTTGTCTAAACGGATAAACATATATACATAAAGAAATTTTATTTTCTTTGGTTTCTCTTCGAGTTTCTTCTTTTTTTTTTTTTACCATTTTATTTCCAAGTATTGAGGTCAGATTATAGTTATGTTAACCAAGTTCGACGTCCGATCATGTCGCGTGAAAGGGATCAGCTTTCACAAAACTCGCCCTTGGGTTCTTTGTGGACTCCACAATGGCGCAGTTCAGATTTGGGATTACCGCACAAACACATCCATCGACACATATACCGAACACAACGGTTCTGTGCGTGGTGTTGACTTCCACATCTCCCAGCCACTTTTTGTATCTGGTGCTGATGATTATCTGATAAAGGTATGGAATTTCAAACTCCGCCGATGTCTCTTTACCTTAAAAGGTCATATGGATTACATCCGTGTAACTTTCTTTCACCACGAACAACCATGGATTCTTTCATGTTCTGATGACTTTACGGTTCGTATTTGGAACTGGCAGAGTCGGAGCAGTGTTGCCTGCCTTCCTGGTCATAATCACTATGTCATGTGCGCCCAGTTTCACCCACGGGAAGATTTAGTGGTTTCGGCAAGTCTTGATAGAACCATTCGTGTTTGGGATATTTCTTCACTACGACTTCGCAAGCAAGAAGTTGGAATCGCGCAGGATTTACTTGGTACCAGTGATGTTACACTTAAATATCTTCTTGAAGGACATGAAAAGGGTGTTAATTGGGTTTGTTTTCACCCTACAAAACCGTATATTGCCTCTGCTGCAGATGATCGAACTGTACGGGTGTGGCGTATGATTGACTCCTCGTGTCATGAAGAGTTACAATTACGAGGACATACCAATAATGTTTGTTGTGTTACATATATGAAAGATTATCTTATTTCTGATAGTGAAGATCGTACTATTCGAGTTTGGGATGTAAAGTCACGTAACCCAATTATGGTTTTCCGCCGTGATGCTGATCGTTATTGGATATTAGCTACACTTCCAGAAAAAAATCTTATTGCAGCAGGTCATGATTCTGGTATGCAGGTTTTTAAACTATTTCGAGAACGTCCTGCATGGGTTATAAATGGCAAATTACTTCATTATATTTATGAAAATACTCTTTATTCCCATGATTTGGATTCTAAAGCGGAATATAAATTTAACCTTGCACCACATTTACATCCACCTCGTAGTATCTCATGTAATCCAGTTGACAATATGGCTGTGGTTTGGTATGACGCAGATGGAGGAGTTGCTGAAGCATTTACTATTCCCAAACCAGGATTCGCTGTTGATGCAGATGTGAAAAAACGTCTTAATGTTACTGATGCAGTTTTTTTCGCTCCTCATAAGTACGTATTTATTGATAAAAATAAAAAAATGGTGGTCTGTAATTCCCAGGGTGATCGTGATAAGCTTGTAACTCCTGAACACACATGTAAGCGTTTATTTCCTGGTCCTATGGGTTCTGTTGTATGTTTAACAGATGAAGGTGTGGAATTATATCATATGGCACAACATGGTGTTACTGCAGAAGCCCCTATTACTGGTGTAAGACATGTTGTTTGGGATAAGGAGTTCAATAAGGTGGCTTTTATTTTAAAGAATACCATTACTGTGATGACAAAACGCTTTAAGAATATTACAACTATTATGGAGTCAACAGCTCGTATGAAGTCAGCTGCCTTTGATGAACAACGTAATATTCTCTATTACACAACTGTGAATCATCTTAAATATTGCAATTTACGTACAGGGGAATGTAGTACTATTCAAACCATGAAAAATCCTTCTTATCTTGTGCGAGCTAGTGGTGATACTATTTGGGCTATTACACGTGAAGGTAAAGTAATGATGAAAGAACTTGACAATCTTGAACTCAATTTTAAGTTAAAACTTCAACAACAAGCATACCGAGATGTTATAAAAATTATTCACCGAAAGCAATTAAAAGGACAAGCTCTTGTTGGTTATCTTCACAAGCATGGTCATTCTGAAATTGCATTGCATTTTGTAAATGAACCTTTTACTCGGTTTAATTTAGCCGTGGAATGTGGAGCGTTGGATATTGCAAAAACTACTGCTTTGGAGCTTAATCAACCAGAAGTTTGGAGACGTTTAGCAGAAGCAGCTACAAAATATGGTGATATTCAACTTGGACAATTTGCTAATTCAAAAACAGGAAATTACCATGGAGCAGGTATGCTTTCCTTAATTACTGGAAATATGGCTGCTCTAGGACATTTGGTTGATACGACGAATGATGATAATTTTAAATTACATTATGGATTGTATTTACATGACGTTCAACAACGTATTCATATTTTAGCTAATGCAAATCAACTACCATTGGCATATTTAACGGCAAAATCAAATGGACTTGATGAATTGGCATCTGGATTACTAGAAAAAATGGAACCTGAAGTAGCTGAACGAATGGAAAAAACAAAAGTTAATCGAATTCCAGAGATTCCACAACCAACTGCTGTTACTGAAAACTGGCCAATGTTACAGGTAGAAGAATCTGTGTTTGCCCGTCTATTAAAGGAACCAGGTCAATTTAACGGTGCAGATGCCGGTGTAGAGGATGTAGAAGAAGAAGAAGAAGCTCAAGCTGGAGCAGGATGGGACGAAGATGGTGATGTTGATGATATGGAAGGAATGAACATGGAGGAAGCAGAAGAATCTAATGGTGTAGAAGGAGAAGGATGGGATGATGATCTTGATATTCAGATGCCTGTGGATCGTGCTGCTGAAGGAGCTCAGAAAGGGGCGTATGTTGTACCAATGGAACACCCTCCACTTTCGCAACACTGGGTTGATAATTATTCTCTTCCAGCATATCATGTTGCTGCAGGTTCTTTTGCAACAGCCTTTGATTTACTTCGTCGACAAATTGGTTTATGTGATCCGATACCATTAAAACCATATATGATGAATTTATGGACTTCTGTAAATGCATCACGACCAGCATGGCTTGTTCCATCGGTTACTTTTCCACTGACGACATATCCACCAGATGAGCAACGTGGAGCTCGTCACGCTCCGCAACTTCCTGATTATACACCTATACTAACAGAGAAACTTCGGGCAGGATACGCTGCTTTTGTGGAAGGACGTTTTGCGGATGCTCACGTTCAATTTCTAGGGGTTATGCATCAATCAGTATTTGCTACATATAAGGATGAGAAACAACGTGCAACACTTCTTGAATTTATGACAGTGGCTTCAGAATATACAAGAGCGCTTAACGTACAGCTTCATTGTCGTAGTATAGACGGAAGTTCTAAAGAAGCTCTTGAATTATCGCTTTACTTTACACATTTTAAGCTTCAACGTTCACATCTCACTTTGGCGCTTTCACAGGCTATGAGTAAAGCATATAAAAAGAAAAATTTCAAGACAGCTGCTGCTGTTGCCAGAAGACTTCTTGATCAGGATCCTCCCAAGACAAAGGCTAATCAAGCTGCTGCTATTGTAGCTGAAGGAGAGCGAAATCCTACCGATGCTGAGGTCCTTGGGTATGATGAGCGAAATCCATTTGTCTTGTGCTCTGTTTCTCATCAACCTATGTATAAAGGAACTATTGATCCTGTTAGGTGTAGCTATTGCTACTCCCCTGCAAACCCGAATTACAAGGGAAATACGTGCCCAGTGTGCAATATTGCGGTATTGGGCGCCGAGTCTGCAGGTCTCGTCAACCGCGCCTAGAAGTATTGAAGACACTGAAAGGGAAAAAAAAAAAATATATATTGGGTCTTTTTTTTTTTGTTGTTGTTCGTTATCTTTAACAAAGCTCTATTGCCTCTGATTCTACAAAGGTTTCTATTTTACTACGCACACTTCCCCCCCCCCCTTACCCCTCGAATTTTCAGAGGAATCAAGCAATCAAAGGAAATTTAGGATTCTCATTTTGACCTTATATAACATTCATTTCTCTTTCTTTTTTTTTTTTTTTTGCTTCTTTCTTTCTTCTTTTACTGTAAACTGGTGTATGGAAAGGTTGACTGATTGAGATACAAAACGAAAAAATGTTTTCACTTTTTTGTTTCCTTTTTTTTTTTCTTTTCTTCGTTAATTAACAACAACGACAACAACAAAAACAGCTTCAGGTAGTCATAATCATACGTGTGCAAACACGATGACAGGATGGAACCAGAAGATGGCCAAGATGGCGTTCCGGCGGTCGAAATTTCGCCGTCTCGCTTGGGGAGATGGTGATCCATACCCGTATACACCGCGAGCAACCTTCCGTTACCAGTGGGATGACTGGCCGCTGTGGGAAAAATTATGGCACATGGCTATAGCCATCGTTGGAGTAGAATTCGCTATGTGGGCTTATTATTCCAAATTGAATAGTCGTATGGATTGGGCCCGTGAGGAGGCATTACGCCGTATGCGGCTGCGTCGTGAGGCCCAAGAGCTCATGATTTTAGAAGGGGAAACATTTGATAGTGACATTCAACCAGACCGTAGATAGGCATAAGTATCGGGGTTTTTGTGTGTTTGTGTCTGTGTTTGAAGGGGTTGGGGAGTGGAGGAAGTTTTAAGGTAGTGGATATTCTTTGCAGACTGCAGTTATTTCTTTTTTTTTTTTTTTTTGTTTGTTTATTGTTATTTTATTTTATTTTTTTCTTCCCAAAGATGGGGGTCTTGGTGGCAAGGGGACAACCATTAGTAGCAGAGAGTAATGGAAGGAAAGAAAAAAGAATTTTTTATTTGATTCAGTACTATGTTGATGAGAAGATGTGGTTCATGGCTAACTTTCGTAGTAGTAATATTTAGTATGTATTATTGTTTATCCTGAAGTATTTCACTTTATCTATTTTCTTAATTCTCTTTTTTGTAGTAATCCTTTTCTCTTTTCGTGTTTTCTCTTACTCTTCAAAAAAAAAAAAAAAAAAAAAAAAAGTTTTTTTTTTTTTTCTTGAAACAAGAATCCTCTTAGACCCAGTTTTAATCTTATGGTTATGTTTCATATTGGTTGTTGATCAATAACAAAATATGTAAGTCGAAGACTTTTGAAGGAGTGCTCGGTGTAAACTTGATGATGATGATGATCCCTTTCTCAGTTTCTTGCATATAACATTGTTCTCCTATCCCGTGCGTTTTGCTGAAGTGCAGGATTAAAAATGTGATCTTCTGGAGGTTGATCAAACACACGGATTGGCTCTTATAAGTGCACCATACCAGCATGTTCTGGAAGTTGTTATATATGGAAGTATAGATTGCTTTACTACTGTTTGTAGAATCATTTGGATGTTTTGTTTCTCTTTTTTCTTTCCTGTACAATATGCGTCTTGAGAAGATCTGCACAATTGCAGAAGTATTTGTTTTGAGCTATCTTTAAAGCGTACAGCTGTGATCACACTCAAGTAAGGTATGCATTACATTCAAGTCGTTCCCTGGATGGTGGCAAATATTTTGATTGCTCAGGTGAGTTGAGAGTCTATGGGAAGTTAATCTCTTTCTTTCCTTTTACGAAGATACTCTTCAGTAATTCCGGTTTGTTACTTTGCAAAAATATACACCAAATAAATGCTGAGGGGAGATGGTATCACGATACTCTTCTCTTTATCTCTCTTTTTTTCTTCTTTCTTCTCTTGTAGGTTGATTATTATTGACTAGTTGTGAAAGCTTTAGCATTTTTTTTTTTTTTTTGTCCTTCTTGCTCTGCTCCCACCCACGGCGATGGCTTCTGGCGGCTCTGTTATAGGTGTAAAATACAATGGTGGTGTTCTGATTGCATGTGACACACTTCTCTCGTACGGCTCTCTTGCGAAGTGGCCGAACATCCCGCGCATCAAACTCGTGGGTACCCACACGGCGTTGTGTGCCACTGGCGACTACGCGGACTTTCAGGAGATGTCGGCGCAGTTGTCGCAGCACGTGGAGCGGCAGCGGCTGTACGGCGGCGGGGCGCTGACGCCGGCGGAGGTGTTGTGTTATCTGCAGCGCCACGTGTACCACAAGCGGTCGTCCTTCGAGCCGGCGCTCTGCCGCTTCGTTCTCGCCGGCCCGCACCTCCTCGCCGGCGTGGACGACGTGGGGACGCGGTGGGAGGACGACTGCGTCGCGACCGGCTACGGCGCCCACGTGGCGCTGCCGCTCCTCCGACGGGCCATCGCCCGCCCTGGCGGCCTCTCGCGCGACGAGGCGCTGCGGCTCGTGAAGGAGTGTCTCCGCGTGCTCTTCTACCGCGAGTGCCGCACCATCAACCGGTTCCAGGTAGCAGACGCCACGGAGGAGGGAGTCACCATCAGCGAACCCTTCGAGGTGGACACAAACTGGGAGTTCGAGGGGTTCTGCTTTGAAAAAACCGCCATCATTCGGTAGAAAAGTGAATATACACTGCAAATGTTTATGTCTGAGATGAAGTATATGTGAAGAAAGGAAAGCAATTGAAAGAAAAAAAAAAAGAAAGAAGGAAAGAGCGCGAAAGGAGTAGAAGAAAAAAAAAAAAGAGAGTAAAGGATCAGAGGAACGAGAAAGTGTGGAAAGGAATAAAAGAGAAAAAAAAAAAATGAGGATAGTTTTTGCGCAATTCTTTTTTTTCTTGCCCCCTCCCCCACCTCTCTCTATGGTTTACATAATAAGAATTATTCGTCTAGGATTGCGAATGCCAGCTGTTTTTTTTTTTTTCTTTGTGTTGTCACATCTCTCTCTCTTTTTTTTTTTTTTCCTTTACATATATTTATTGCCTTAAATCCCCTCTTTAGGATGAGGTGAGTAGGTGGAGAAGAAGAAAAACAACGAACGTAAACTAAAGAAAAAAAAAGAGGAAAGATATTTTTTTCTTCTTTGTTTTTGTTTTCATATATATATATATAGTTGAGTATGTCTATAACGTCTGATGCGTCGACCCTGGGGGTGACCATTCGCGAGATCGCAGGTCATCCAGAAAAGCGCACGATGCTTGTGGAAGATTGCGTTAAACAAGTTAAAGAGCTTCAGCGAAAAAATCTTCAAGAGTATGAAAATGCTATTTCATCTTTGCTAATGTGTTTGGAAAGCTTTGATGTAGTTGGAGGGGATGCAAATGAGGTGACTTGCGCCCTCACTGCGTTAGATATATTACTTAAGCTTGATTTGACAACTAGTCAAGTCTCTCAGTGTAATAGCTACGTTCGCCTTTGTCTTTGTGCAGTAAATAGTACATCTCTCGCAGTGGAAGCTTCTGAAACATTTGTCAAGACGCTAGTTAACTGTATGACATCAGATTTTGTTCGAAGTCAGATAGATGATGCACTTTCATGGATTGAGTTGACAGAACCTAATATGGTAGCGAGACGTTTATGTGGTTTACTTCTTCTGAAAGAGGTAGCTCTTCGATTACCTATGTTTATACTTCCAAAAGTGAATAACCTATTTGAAAAGTTATGGAGCGGTTTGGCTTCATCTCATGAGATGATACGAAATACATCCTTACAGCTCTTTAAAATAAGTGGGAAATTACTGAGTAATCGGTCTCCCACACTTAGGGCAAAAACTTTGGATACTTTACTTCATCAACTCAAATCCAATCTTGCAGCAAAATCAAGAGAAAGTAATATGGCTGGTTTACTAGCTTTTGAAACAGTGGTTATGAGTTCTATAGGTAGTTCTTCACAACCAAGGTATGAAGATGTTTCAATCATGCTGGTGCCATATGTGATGAGTGGAGGTTCAAGTACTAGTTCTGAGCTTGTAAGAAAACTTCTCTTCCGTTGTTTGGTCGTTTTATGTCGTTATAGTACTACATTATTTATAACCAATCAACTAAAAGATACTGTTAATTTTACTCTAAAATCTATTCAAAATCTTTTTCAACATTGTGCCGCCTTTGATATGCTAAGTGATATTATACCTATGGTTGGTAGGAGAGCTTTTGCACCATTTGTAAAAGAAACATGTGATGCAATACGATTTGTATCTGAAAAATCACCAACACCATGCTGGGAATCACTTAAATGTTTTTCTGTAATTTGTCGTGAATGTCAACCTGCAGATGTTGAAGTTTATATAGATTCTTGTATTGAAAACGTTTTTAAATGGGGATTGTCATCGCAATTAATTGAATGTATGCGAGACATTATTACCTTTACTAGTGCAAAGTATCGAACAAAACTTGAGGAAGATTTACTTGATATGATATCTGTGACTCTATGTGGTCTTCCATTTAGGCAACACCCTGGAGTGAAAATGCATACAGCTATTCATCCTGAATCTGATCCTACAGAAAGCCAAATTGTAGTTGCACTTAGTGCATTAAGACAATTTGGATTTTCAAATTCTGAACTTATGGGTGATTTCCTTCGTGATTCAGTTCTTCCTCTTATTGATAGCAATAATATTTCAGTACGAAACGCTGCTATTCGGACAATAGTTACCTTATTAATTCCAAATGGTGTAAAAGGAGAATTAACAATGGCTAGAAGAATATGTGTAGATATGATTGTTTCTCGTATGCTTTTAGTAGGATTAGCTAATCCTGATCCAGTAATACGAGAAACTGTATTGTCATCTTTTACACCACCTTTTTATCCATATCTTAGTGAAATGCAGTTTTTAACTCAACTTTACGCGGCACTTGGAGACGAAGCTATTAGTTGTCGTGTTGCTGCAACAGAATTACTTTGCCGTTTGATTGATCATGATCCTTCACATATTTTACCAATACTTCGAAAAGAAATGCTTCAAATATTATATGCAATATCTGAAAGCCAAAATGTAATTGCCGTACAAAATGGACTTCAACTTTTAGATGCTTTTGCATCTAATGCGCCACAGTTCGTAGTAAATTTTTCAGATGGTATAGTTAAAGCTGTTAGACATCATTTTTTGTCTCTTAGCATACATTCAACTCTTTCACAATCTCTTCTTCGTTCTTGTACTTCTGTGGCTCGAGCAGCTCGTTTTTTTGGACGTGTGGAATTAGTTTTTACAGTTGAAGTAGGAAGAGTATGTGAGTTTTTAGACTCTCTACCTCTTGATGCAGAGTTTGTTACCTTACGTTTATGGTGTTTACGTTTCCTTGATGTCACACTCTCTCCACAAATGGGTGGTCGTCCACCATATGATTTATATCCTTATTTATATCGACAACTCTCCGGTATCTTAAAAAATAGTGATGATGACTTGAATGTACGTCTTGAAGCATTACGATGTGCTGGAAGTATTGGTGCATTAGACACAAATATTTTTCATTCACTAGGTATTGATCAAGTTACGAAACAAAGTAAACTTGATCGAAGTGCTCCAAATGTACTTACACATGCAATGTGTTGTCGTTTTATTTTACGTGCTATCGCCACATTATTAGACCCTAATGAGAAAAGATTTTCAGGAAGTAGAGATGGTTTATTACGGGTAGGAATTCAAACTATTTTAAACATTGGTGAACGTTGTCCATGTTCTCGTGCTGAAATGAATGTTGTTATTTCACCTGTAGTTCGTGCTGCCAGTGAATTAAGAGGTGATAGATTACTTGGTACTGTTTTGTATGAATTAACACATATTATAAAATATGTAGGTGTAGCAGTTCTTTCTGATGTTGATGTTCTTTATAATTTTTTTGAAGATGTTTGGGTAAAGTGTCCTACGTATCGTTTTCTTACTGTACGTCTTGCGTCTACAGTTGCAAATTTTGAGGTTGAGGGTCACCAGGTGTTTAGAGATATTAATGCTCATATACTTCCTATAAAATTTGATGCTCTTAATGATGATGATTCTTCAGAATATTTGAGGTATGCTATTATTGAGTATATTGTTAAACACACTGATGCACTTCAGGCATATACTCAAATGGTAGTTACAAATTTACTTAGAGCTACACAAAGAAATTCTATTGATTTTGTCATTTGTGTTGTTACTGCTCTTCGTGTGGTGTGTTGGAGGATAAGTGTAGATGAACTTGCTGGTGTTATCGTTCGTGGACTTCTTACAAGTTTAAGACAACATTTTTCTTCGTTGACAAGAGTTACTGAAGTTACTACATTTTCAAATAGAATTATGAGTGTTTTTTCAGTACTTATTGTACAAATGCAGGGAGAGTTTATAAAATACTCTTCTGAAATTCTGAGAACTCTTAAAACGCTTCGCATTTCAAATACAGAGTTTATGACTCTTCATGGACTAGTAGTAAAAGGTTTTCGTTGTGTATTAAGTGAGAGTTCTTTATCAGAACATCATGACCAATTACTTCGTCTACTTAAAAAATGTGAATCTATGGCCCTTCGTGGGATTTTACGATTAGGTGATGTTTGGAGTCCAACGACTAATGTTGAAGATACCTCTAGTGCGTTTAGTGATGATGAACGACCGCTTCCTTTTTCAGAACAACGTATTATTCTCAACACCAAAGCTCTTCCTCTTGCGAAGGAGGAGTGGCTTAAGTGGATTGACCATTTTTCTATAGTGATTATGCAAGAATCACCGTACCGCGTATTCCGCTGTGTCTCACTGCCCATTGGCACCAACGCGACGCCGCTGGTGGAGCGATCCCCGCAGTTCACGCAAGACATCATGCGACTGGCATTTCGCACGCTGTGGAACTTCAGCAGCGCCGGCGTGCGTGCCTCCATCGCGGACTTCTTCCGGCAGACACTCCAGCAGCCGCTGCGCTCCTCGGCGGTGCCCGACGACGTCATCACCGCCCTTCTCTCCCTCACGGAGTACATGGACATCGTCGGCACAACACTTCCTATTGCCGCCGGCGATCTCTTCGAGTGTGCGTGGCGGCGGGGGATGCTCGCCAAGGCACTCTACTGGTGCGAAGCCGCCTACCGCGAGGAGCCCGCCAGTGCCGTGGAGCCACTCATCACTTTATACTCTGAGTTGCACCAGGCGGACTCCGCCGTGAGTATTCTTAATGGAGCAAATGAGAATCAGAAGCGATATCTTTTGCAGCAGTCTGGTCTCTTGAAAGTTGCAGGTTTTACAGAGACACTACGTCTAACGCAGTTTGAACTTGATAATGAAATGGGATGGTCAGAAAGTAGTAGTGAAGGTTTAGCAAAACCATTACCTTATAGATCAAAGACGTTACGTAAGGTTCGAGGTATTTCTGGTAAATCTTTTTCTGAAGTCAATACCTCTTTTCGAAGTGAAGATGGAACATTAGATCTGCAACTAGAACGTGAAACACGACAAATGTTAAGCTTAAGTGAATTTGGAGATTATGATAAAGTACTTGAAAAATGGACTTTATTATTTAAAAAACAAAATGAGAAGGAAGTAGAAAATGAAGAAAATATTCTTACTTATGTATCACAATACGCCGCTGATGCTTCTATACGACTACAATCATGGAATACTTTAGAAGAATCTTTACATTGGTTACCACAAGATAGTGTATTATATCATATCTCACTTGCCGCAATGAATATCCACAAAGGTGAATATGATAATGCCATGTTAGCTGTAAATGAAGGACGTAAGTTGTTATTAGAAGATCTATCAGGACTTTTACATGAATCTTATACAAGAGCATATGAAGGACTTGTGGTTGCACAACAACTCTCAGAGTTGGAAGAAGTTGTAGTTGCTAAACGTTCAATAGAAGCATCTTCTATGCGACAACTTGGACGTATCTCACGTTTATGGAATCAACGTATCGAAATGATGTCACCAACAGTTACAGTTTGGAAAAAAGTTCTTGGAGTAAGAGGATTACTTATCCCACCAAGTGAAGATATCACGGTGCGATTGAAATTTGTAAAGTTGTGTAGGCGTGAAAAGGCAAAACAGTTAGAACGTTTTACACTTGGTCAATTACTTGGTTATCGTTGTCCAACTTATGAACAACTGATGAGTCGGAACTCAAATCCTAGTGTGGTGATGCAGTATATTATTTTTCTATCTGCAAATGGAGAACTTGGACCGAAAAGTCCATATGGTCTTGAAAGTGATCTTCTTAAAAAAATGATTGACACACATTCTAAGGCTGAGAATGCGGTTTTACTTTCTAGAGCTTATGCCCGTCTTGGAAAAAATGCAAAATTGGAAGAAGCTGTTGAATGCTATAAAGCTGCAACATTATACGACCCTAATTGGTTTCACGCCTGGCGTATGTACGCAGAGACGAATGTAGAATTGCTTGATATAGCTTACTCTGATAGTGCTTGTGCTGCTGCAATTGAAGGATATATTAAGAGTATTGAAGTAGGAAATTCTGATTCAACAATGATTCAAGATGTCTTAAAACTCCTTACACTATTGAGTCGTCACTGTGATCATGAAAGTGGTTTAAAAGAAATGCGAAAACGTGTATTAGATCTTTCATCACGTGCATGGCACTTGGTAGTACCACAGCTTATTGCTCGATTAGATTCGGGATCAGATGGTAGTTGTCAACTTGTAGCGGATATTCTTACTTCTGTAGCCTTTGATTTCCCACTTTCTCTTATTTATCCATTAAATTTATGTGCCATGTCAGACTCTGAACGACGTAAAAAATGGGCTAATACTATTCTTGAAAAATTACAAAATAAATACCCAGTTATTGTTCTTCAAGGTCGTATATTAGTGGATGAATTACTTCGATTATCAGAGTTAATATATGAAGAATGGTATGATCAATTCGAAGCTGCCGCTACTGCTTTTTTTGGTCGTCGAAACTATCATGAGATGGTAGAAATTCTTTTACCATTACATGAAAAACTTAATCGAGCTCCTGAAACCATAGTTGAAGCTGAATTTATCTGTAAATACAGTAGTAGTCTTGATGAAGCACAAGGTTGGGTGTGTTCTTATTTACAATCAGGTTCAATTGCAGATCTTCATTCTGCTTGGCATATTTATCATGGTGTATACCGACAAATTGATGAGCAAATTAAGTCTCATAATCGATTGCATTTACCATTTTGTAGCCCAAAATTATTTGAGGCACGAAATCTTGCAGTGGGAATACCTGATGCTATGCCTGTAGAAGAAGGTTCTGTAAGTTGTATTGCTTCTTTTAACGATACTCTTGTTGTAATTTCTAGTAAACAAAGACCGAAACGTTTGAGTGTTATTACAGTAGAAGGGAAAAAACAAAAGTATCTTCTTAAAGGTCGTGAAGATTTACGACTTGATGAACGAGTTATGCAACTTTTTCGACTTGTGAATACATTAATGATGTCTGATTCTAGGACCTGTAAGAACTCTGGATTTCTTATTCAACGATATTCTGTAACCCCGTTAAAGGATACGGTTGGACTTATTGGTTGGGTAAGTGGATGCGATACACTTCATGAATTAGTTAAAAAATACCGAGTATCTAGAGGTATTCCCTCTGAGTTGGAATTTCGAATGCTTAATCAGATTCTTGTTTATGATAACCCAAAGGCGTATGATTATCTTACTGTAATGTCTAAAGTAGAAGTTATGGAATTTCTTGCGGATCATACATCAGGTCATGATATTCGAAAGGCTATGTGGGCTTCAGCTGCTAGTTGTGAAACATGGTTAGAACAACGGCAAGTGTACACAACATCTTTGTCAACTACAAGCGTAGTAGGTTATATCCTAGGACTCGGTGATCGTCATCCCAATAATATTATGATTCAACGAACATCAGGTCTTATAGTTCATATTGACTTTGGTGATTGCTTTGAAGTTGCTATGACACGTGATAAATTTCCTGAAAAAGTTCCATTCAGACTAACCCGAATGTTACGAAATGCTTTAGATGTTTCTGGTGTTAATGGGTCATATCGTACTACAGCAGAGACAGCAATGTGGGTATTGCGTGATGGATGTCATAGTGTTCTTGCTATACTTGAGGCTTTCATTCAAGATCCCCTTATCTCATGGCGGTTAATGAACCATCCAGGGGAGGAACCAGAACCATCAAATGATCATCGAACTATAGAAGAACAGTTACGAACGGTTCGTATACAGTCACATGCCGCTTATCCAGTTGGAGCTCCTAGAGATAGCACTTCTACTGAGGCTATAAAATATGTAGACACCACTTCTATGCATGAAGAAGTAGATATGCTTCACAAAGGTGTTACTATTTTTCAACGTGTTCGGTCAAAATTACAGGGGAATGATTTTTTGCAGACAGAAGGGTCAGGAGTAAGTATGGATCCGAAGGTTCAAGTTGCTCGACTTATAGTAGAAGCGACAGATATAACCAATGTTGCACAGTCGTGGTCCGGTTGGTATCCATTTTGGTAAGTTTTTTCCTTCTTTCTTGTGAGTTTCTTCTCTATAGTTTGAAATTGTGAACCCAAAGATTATTTAATAACCGAAGACTGCGTACTGAACTGTGATACCTTTTTCACCATTCTTATTATTGTCATTGCTACTCCTTTTTCAATTTTCTGTTTTTATCATATATCCTGTTGTTGCTATTTTTTGTATTCTTCCATTATTGCGTTTCTGGTCTGAAAAAGTTGTCATATTGATATTTGCTTTCGAGTGAAATGAAAGATAAATGCTGTGTCTGCCTCAACTATTGGTATGTTTAACATACATGTAGTTGGTGTAGTATACAGCTCTCTTTTATTTATTTTTTTTTTCGCTTATTTCGATGCGCTACTGTTGTTGAAAACGTCTTGAATGTGATCAGAATAGCAAAAAAAAAAGGATTACTTGATTGCATGAGAAATATATTGGAGTTGCCCAATCTTAACCATATGGATGTTCATTAAAGAAAAAATCGAAGTCATTCTATGTTGTGGTGGTACTGGTAATAGAGAGTGTGTATTAAGGGTATCAGTTTTTCTTTTCTTGAGTTGTATGATAGTAGCTGTTCATGGTGAGATGAATGAAAAGGAGACTGCATTGGTTCAGGGAAGATTCCCAAAATACTATGAAAGTGGAAAAAAGAAAAAAAAAGAGTAATGATATTTCATCCCTTTTTTTTTTCTTTTATTTTTATTTTTTTTTTCCTTCGATTTGAATGTTGAGGAAGTCATCAAGAGAATCCTGCCGTCATAGGTGAGGAGGTATAGATATATATGTTGAATCATTGTGTTCCAGAAGAGAAGTATTGATATTGAAATGGTTTGCAATACTTTTCTTCAATGATTATGTGGAATTCATGAGAATCTCAGAGAGAGAGAGAGAGAGTAGCATGTGATAGGAGCCATCTGACGGTTTTAGCTGCAGTATTCACCAGGGAGTAATGTTTTTATTTTCTTTTTATCTTTATTTGTAGTAAAATGTTTGCTTTTCTTTTTTTTTTTTTTCCAATATTCACCTTCTTCTGTTTCCATCAAGGGAATATGCTCTTGATGTTGCACGATACTTTGTGTAACCATGTGATAAAAATTTTTTTTTGCGTTTTCAAGGTGCAGCAATGTGCTGTAATCCTAAATGCGTTCCTTTTCTTATTTCTATTTTTTTTTTTTATTATTTTCTCTTATTTCATTCTTCTTTTCTTTTTCCTAATCCATTTTTACAAGATTGTTGCAGCTATTATAGCAGACGATTATGCATCAACCCAACCCGTATGTGCCGTATGCGGTTTACCCGTCGCAGCAGCCGGCGATGAAGCCGTATCCTGCAGTGCCGCCTGCCTCACCCGAGACAGCGAATATGTTAATGCTCCTCGAGAATCTCTTCAAACCCGAGTTGCGGGAAAAGGCAATTTTAGACCTTGCGAAACATCGTGACTCTTTCCCACTGCTTGGACCTGCCCTCTGGTATGGTGTGGGGACCATGGCAATTCTCCTACAAGAAATAATTTCTGTGTACCCACTTCTTCACTTACCGCAACTTTTCCCAAAAGGTTTGACTAGTCGTGTGAGTAGTGTCCTTACACTTCTTCAGACGGTTGCATTTCACGATTCAACCCGTAAAGTCTTTTTGGAGGCCCAAATTTGCCACTTGCTTTATCCGTTTCTTCGTGGGATGAATGAAGGAGCAGAGAGTCTTCGCCTTACATCGCTTGGCGTTATTGGTGCTCTTGTGAAAACTGACGATAGTGATGTAATGAATTACCTCCTGAGTACAGAAATCTTCCCTCTTTGTTTAAGAATAATGGAGTGTGGAACAGAATTTGCAAGAACATTGGCAACCTTTATTGTGCAGAAGCTTCTTTTGTCAAATCCAGGCCTTGAATATGTATGCCACAAACCAGATAGATTTACGGCCGTTGTGACAGTACTTGGGAATATGGTTGGTTCAAAGGAATGTAGCCCCCGTCTCCTTCGTCATATCATTCGCTGTTATTTGCGGTTATCAGATCATCCACGTGGCTGTGAAGCACTTGGACAATGCTTGCCGGTGGATCTACGAAATGATAAGCATAAGGAGGCATTAGATAGCAATCCCAATATGAAAAAATGGTTACTCCAACTTCTTGTTAACATTGGAGATGAGGGTGCAAAAAAACTTCTCGAAAACAATATAAATGCGTAGTATATATATATATATATATATATATATGGTGTTGTGCCGTATTTCTAATACTGTTTCTCTTTTTTTTTTCAATTCAAATAAAAAGAAAAAAAAAATTTTTTACTTGTTTTCTTATTGTGTGTCTGTGTCTGTACGTCTGTGCATTTGTTTTTTTCTGTTGAATGGGAGAGAAATATTAAAGGTAAGTTATTTCTTTCTTTTTTCCTCAGCTGTACCTCTTTACATACATATTTCGTTATTCACAGGCATTGCAAATGCACACACGTACAGTCACAATGCTTATACATGAGAAAATAATATACATTCGCGCGATAAATTACCCTTACCGTTAGTTTTTGCTGCCACTTTTACATTACTTATTATTTTTTCCCACATTAAAGGTTCGGGCCTTTCGTTTTGTCTCAAGAATACAGTAGAAGAAAACAAAAAGAAAAATGAATAGTGTTTCGCCCGATGAGCCTCTAGAGGCCCCTGTGGAATCGTACAAACCGTCCCTGCATGTGGACGTAAATGCAGAACCTTTAGACGAAAATGGTAACAGCACTGGTACAACTCCGAAAGCATCATTAACACCGCATGTTCCCACGAATATCTTCGTTGCCGGGGTTCCGCCTTCGTGGGATGAGAGTGACTTGCGTCGAAAGTTCCAGGAGTTTGGTGAAATTATTTCAACGAAGATTGTGCGAAGAAGACATTTTGCTTTCGTTATGTTTCGAAGACCAGAATCGGCGCATGCCGCAATTAATGCAACACATTTAACCCATCCTACACCTAACAGCCCTGTTCTACTGCATGTTTCCATCGCAATGCACGACGAAGGTGTAGATGATATACCTAATGATCGTATATTCATTCGAGGACTTCCACAATGGACTACTAAAGAACATATTAAGCAGTGCTTTTCGCGCTTTGGCACTATTGTAGATGCTGCAGTGCTTATGAATCCTTTAGGACAATGCAAAGGCTCTGGCTTTGTGCAATTCTCATCAATTGATGAAGCAAGTGCTGCTATTGAAGCAAGAAAAAGTATCCGTATTGAAAATTGGGATACAGAATTGGAAGTAAAATATTCTGAGACGGCTGAAGTTAGGCAGCAACGTCAAGAACGTAATAAAAACCGACAACGACATTCACCTAAATACCGACAACATCCTTCACCTTTTCCACTTTATTCCCCGCCAGTTCCTGTGGTACCATCAATGCCTGCATACCCAATGCTTGGAATGCCCGCTCCTTTTCCTTTGTTTTATTCACAACCTACAATTGCAACTACAGCATCAACTTCACCTCATATTATATATTCCCCAATGGTGACTTCCCCTGCGTTGCCCGTTTACACACCCCAACAAGCAGTTTTTGAACCGAAACCAAGTCTATTTCCCTGCAGTGGTGATTTACATTTATCTGGAGTAGCACTGACAGAATCTACATTGCTTGCACTTCTGCAGCGCTATGGAACAGTGGAGGCGAAGGATATTCTTAACGATAGCGGTGCCGCCGTGCGTATGACAGACCGTGGAGTTCATACTCTTATAGCTCAACAACTCAACGGAGCTGTGTTCCCCAATGGGCAAGTTATGACTGTTGGCCTTTATTCATGAGGAGATAGATAGAAGGTGAAAGGGCCATCTTTTTTTTTTTTTAATTATAAGGAGAGAATGGACGGCGCAAAATGGCGTGGTGATATATAAAAATACATCATTACTTTGCTTACCTCAGAGAGCATATGGCGCTGAACATATATATACACACATATATAAAGATATATGTATAATTTTTTTAAAATTAACTGACCTTGGTTAAGAAATGTATATTCTGTGATAGCCTTTTTTTTTTTTTTTTTTCTTTCCTTCTTTCTTTTTCTTCATGGTATTTTCATTTCTACCCATAAAGTATAGAATAGAAAAATGAGTCTCCCTGAGGCGCAACAGGGAAGAATAGCGACAATATGGGGTAGTTTGATTATCTATTCTTGTTGTGCAACTGCTGTCATTTATGCATTCCTTGGACTATTTGCTTGTCGTCGTCTGATTCGCGCTAACTGGCGTTGGGTGTTAATCGTAGCTCTTTACCTTATTGTTGGTATGTTGCATGCATTTTTATCTCTGGCGATACTTTGTGTGGCGGTGGCCTGTATATTTTGGACCTTCGGTGATAGAAGGATAAGTACTATCGAGACGATTGCATATGCAGCAGTGATGGTTGTGTTGACGATTTTCTTTGCTTTGGGACGAAAGTCAATTCTATACGCCTTGTGACATCTAACTCAATGCTAGTCTTTTTTCTTTATTCCTGTTTCACTGGGTTCTTCTGTGCGATGTAAGTGATGCAGCAAATAGCACTAATTGTTCAGAAAGCCAAATTATATGTATTCTCCTTTTTTTTCTCTCTTTTCTTTCTTAATTAGTCTTTTTTTTTTTTTTTTTGAACTCTCTCACCTCACTATCTTTTTTTCTTTGTGTACCTCTTCTTTTTTTGTCTCTCCTCTTATCTTTTTCAGTATATTTTGTATCAGAACCTGAGAAAAGGAGGATGATGTTTGGACTTTTAATCGAGGGTGAAGGCATGCGTGGAAACGTGGTAGATTTACCGGAATGTTCAGACCATGTTTACTGTACTGCCGTTTCCCCTGATGGACTTTTTCTTGCTGCCGTTCTTGGTGATGGTTCTCTTCTTTTGCTAAACCCCAAGACGTTTAATGTATTGTACAGAGTCGCAGCGGGAAAGTCGTATGACGACGTCCCAAGTACGAGTGTTCGGTGGCTATCACCAAGAAACGAGGAATTATATTCCCTGGTCTCTGTGTCCAGTGCAGGGGGAGTCTTTATTTGGACGTGGGACGGAGAGACCCTGGAGCGCATTGTTCGAGTCCATGAAAACGAAAATGATATCACTTGTCTCGCTGTTTCAAACGATGGCAATGCCTTTATCACTGCAGGCAGTGATCGTCTTGTACGCTATTACGATGCGGATGGAACATTAAAGGCTACTATGAGCCGTGGATATGACGCGGATGGGGTACCGCGAGTGACACATACTAACCGTATATTTTCAGCTCACTTTGTCACTCCCACAATGGCTGTTACGGGTGGTTGGGGAACCCCCATTCAAGTTTGGGACATGCGTGATCAGGAGTCAAGGGTACAACTCTGTGGTACACAAATTGCTGCTGATGGTATTGAACCCATTCCAGCCACTACTTGTGTCATTGTAACTTCAAAACGAGGAGAACAACAGCTACAAGTTTTTGATTGTATTTCAGGAAATGAAATTGAAGAGGATTCTAACCGTATATCTTCTATAGTATTAGAGAGTACACCAATTATCTCAAGATACTGCAAAAAAACTGGTTTGTTATGGACAATAACATCAAAACCGTTTATGATTTGTGTAAAATCATTCATTTCAGGCGAGATGGTGGCATCATGTGCGTCACCATTCCATCTTATGAATATAGAATTATCTGATCATTTTCCCTTCCAAGCCTTTGTTTCATGTGGGAATGGGAAAATTATATTGGCAAAGGTTAAAGGAGAACTGCACGAGTAATGCGATTTTGAATGTAATTAAGAATACAAGTTGATATAACCATTTGAGTAACGTATTACCTGTTTCCGTTTATATGGTTGTTTCACAAAAGGGACAAATATATTTTTTTTTTCTTTTTTTCTTTTTTTCTTTTTTGCATCCGTGTGTATGAGTAAATCCTTGACTTTTTTTTTTCGGTTTTCACTTTATTAATGAGACTTAAGCCTATTTGACTTGTGTCCACTTAGCAGAAAAAGGTTTTTTTTTTTTTTTTTACTTCTTTTTATCTTATTTGTTACTGAAGAGTAAAAAATAAAATAAAAATAAAATAAAGAGGAAACTATCCAATGTATTGTGTTCATGGCTATCATTGCTGAGAAAATTGCAGCGATAGAAAAATTACTATTGGAAAACAGAAAGATTCAGGATCATGTAAACTCTATGATTTGTAACATTGAGTTTCGTCTCGTTGTTATAAATACACTTTTTCTTTCTTTGAGAACGAGACGGAGAAAACGAAATGAGACGAATGAAACAGAGTCTCTTGGAACCAATATAGATACTTGGTTTAGGTTTACTTGCGGTTCCCGCGTTTATGCACCTCCACTTTGTGTGCATCCGTCATATCACTGCCATGCGCTAGCACCCAGATTTCGTTGGAATCAACGAGCAATAAGGTCGTTAAAGCGCCAGGTGGAGCGCATGGAGTTAGGCGCAAACACAAAGAGAGATCTCACGCTGTGGCAAGTTGTTGCAGATGCTGTTAACTATGATTCTAAGGCCACATTATGCGTAGACGGTTTTCAGTGTTATCTTCATTATCAGCAATTAGTAAAAGCATCAGCAAGTTTTTTCTCTCCTGAGGAAGATCAGTATATTGCCGAGTATAACCCTGGAAGCAAACCGTGGACCCAGCTTGTAACAGACATTCTTCACATATTTGGTTGTTCTCGTACGGCTTTTCAAGTGGCTCAGAGGTATCGTAAACTCAAGCGAGAGAAGTATGAGTATACTATTATCCCTGATAAAGATGACACTTGGTTAAGAATATGTACAGAAATATCTAATAATATTGTGCCTGAGACAGAAGTACTTGTGCAGTATTCAATAAAAATGAATATTGGGCGCAAGATTCCGTGGGTAACTGAAGAGTCCATCTGCAAAGCAATATCGCATCGTAGAGTTCTCATGGACGATACTAAAGAAACTCTTATGCAGCGAAACATTTATGCTGTGCTTCTAAGTGATCAAAACTATGCTTCTTCTGGGGAAGTAAGATTGATATTTTTGCGTTTACTACAATGTGATCCTCTAGATATGGTCGATGCATTATCTCGCGCGAGATGGCGCTTCTCACAAGTTTCTCTGGAGCAAGCAGCTCAGCGTCTCGCCTCTTCTCTACAGGATGTTAGGGAACGCATTCTTGCGAGGGTTTTGAGGTGGTATGAAACTGTTTACACTTCAGATTTTTTCAAGGTTTCATTGGATATCTTCGGACAGAGGGATGGTGCTTTGGCATGTTTTATCATTTCACGGGATTATGAGCGACAACGAAGGAGGGCAACACCGTATACTCGTCTTAATTTATTGTAGTACATTTTTCTCAGTCATAGGAAAAACAAAAAAAAAAAAAAATCTTCTTGTATCTGTAATACGAAACGCCTCTCGATTCTCTTTCTATTGTTTCTGTTCTTTTTTATTTGTTTGGTGTGTGTGTGTGTGTGTAAAGATCAGATTTCTTTTTTTTTTTCTGTTTTTATTTCCTTGAAATGTATTTTTCTTATATTTCCTTTTGACTTTTTTTTCCCCCTTTCTTTCACTCTTTTGTGGTTGCGGAAGAAAAGTCAATACGTAGTCACACCTAGTTGCTCCAAGTAAGGAGTAAGATAAATAAATAAATAAAAGCAAGGTGACATCTGTACACCCTATCTTGATTACAACACAGGTGTAGGGAAGGATAGTTAGTTAGGGGAACAAGTCGAGGGAAACCAAGGAAAAGAGAAATCCTCCGAAGAACGGGATATGGACGCTCTGGAACCTGTGAACGAGGCGGAGCGGCTGAAGGAAGAGGCCGAGATCCGCGAGCGGGACCGCAAGCGGCAGCAGGAGCGTGAGGAGCGGGAGCGTCGGCTGGCAGCGGAGCGGGAGTCGGAGGACCGCCGGCGGCGTGAGGAGGAGGAGCGACGCATCGAAGAAGAGAAACGGCGGCGGCGGCAGGAGGAGGAGTGGCGCCGCCTCGGCACTGATATCATACAAGACCTTCCTCCCGTTCCGCCCTCCATCGTTGCCGACGGCCTCGTCGAGGCATGGTATCTTGATGATGAGACATCAAAGCCTACGTTGCGCACAGCCAGTCTCAAAAAGGGGCGCAGACGCGACACCCCTCCCGTCACTCTACAGCAGCTCAAAGAGCTGGGAGTCGTTTACTTCAATGTCAGCTTGAACGATTTTACTGTGGTGAAGCAAATTGTAAAGGAGCGACAGTACAAACATACAGATGAAATTCGCGTTTCACAAACGTGTAAGGATGAGCAATTTTTGGAACGTTGGTTTCAGGAGCATTACAACGAAGATGAACAAATACGTGTTGTAATTGATGGTTCTTGTTATTTTGATGTGCGCTCCAAACAGGATACCTGGATTCGGATTCATGCCCAAACAGGAGATCTCTTTATTTTTCCTCCTGGGCTTTACCACCGTGGAACATTGGATGAGGACGATTTCGTTGCCATTTACCGCATTTTTCAAGACTCTCCGAGATTTGCTCCATTTTTTCGTTCTGATGCACGGGCGGAATCTCAGAAAGTGCGTTTGAATTATTTAATGTCTCTGAAAAAAGGGAATGTTGCGGTAGAACTTGGATTTAAATGAAGAGAAAAAATTCGTTTTGTTTTCCTTTTTTTGTTTTTTTTTTTTTTTATTATTTGCCTGTTTTTCATCATTTTTCCATGAGCTTGCTCCCTTGAAAAAACCTGACCATGTAGGATACCTCGATTTGGTTGCCATGTAAAAGAGCTTTGGTTTCCCCATTAGAAAAAAAAAAAATGAAGGTATCAGTTCTTGTGTTGTTGAGTCATGCTTGGACCTTTTTCCCTCATAATTAGTATTATTGCTGGTGTTGTTATGATGCATAGGTTATATATTTTTTTTTTTTTTTTGATGCACCATTCTCTCTTTTTTTTTCGTTTTTTTTTTTTTTTTTTTTTTTTTTTTTTTCTTTTTTTCTTTCTTTCCATTCTATACTTTTTTTTGTTTTTTTTTTTTTTTGTATCCCTCTCCCATCCTCTTAAATTTAATGATGGGTGTATATTCTATATGATCTTGTGTGGTTAAAAAAGGAAAAGGTACCATGCTGACGGATGCAGCGATGGCGCAGGCAAGTCACCTAAGCCCAGTGGATCTCTGCTCTCTTCTCGTGCGGGATGTAAAGCATTCGGTATTAGGAAGAAGGGAAATGGGAATACGTTTCGGAACTACATCACACGGGTTTACCCGAATCCAACCAAGTACAAAGTATCATTGCCTTCATTGGTCGTGCCCTGATATTATGCAACCACCAGCGATGTGCTTCCCTGTTGTAGGGGATCATCTTTCCATGGAGATGATAGGTGACCTACTTCGTCTAGTGAATAAGAGTGGTAGTGTTTCTTTTTTTCTCCCAAAGAAAGGGAATCATCGTTTTCTTGGACTCTTACGTCTTATTCGAGGTAGTGATGGCGTATTTACGATAAATACTACTAAAGCTCAGGAATCATGGTCATTTCAGACGCAATTTATAACAGAAGAAGAAAAATGCTGTGATACCTCCGCAAATGCTATTGAGCTTTTCACAAGGAAGTTGGTTATGTGGATTTTTAGATACTATTCTCTTCAAAACGACAAACAACTTACTCTTCCTCAGTTAGAGTTAGCATTTCCACTTTTAACTGCAATGGATATGCAAGAACGCCGTCGTTTTCTGAGTGGGGCTTTAACTCGTTTTGCTGGAGGACTTTTATCATTTTATGATGATCGTGTAATCTCACTAAGGAATATCCCGATTAGTGCATGTGGTCTACTTTCAATGGAAGAAGTTCATGTTGTGACATCTGTAGAACAGGCATCTGTTGCATTTATTTTCAAGTGTCAGATGCGACATGATGAAGTATTGAATGGATTACAAACGATTTTAGATTGTTGGGGAAAACGTGGTTATGCTTTTCCATCTTCACTTATTCGACAAGCTATCGCTGTCCTCTTGTCACATGTAATAGGAACCTGCGCCTTGCTACAGAGTGCATTAAAGGGTTGGGTGCGCCCCTTTGTTCTTCATCATCTACAAACATTCATGAGAACATGTCACGGACCGATAGCGACAAAACTTAGCACGTTATTAAAATCGATAAAGACGCAGAAAACATCTAAAGGAATTTCATTTAAGATATTGGTAGATGATATTGTGAATCAAGAGTTATTTACTGCTGGATCTCCAGCCTTATGTGATTTACAAAAACATAAACATCTAGAAAAGGAGGTGGATAATATGAAGGAAGGGTTTGAAGTTACACCAGACGGTGGATATATATTTGACTCTGTGTTACCTGTTACCCATAGTGTCTCGGGTTTGGCATGGAAGATTACTCGAGATTCCTGTCGTTATACGACTATTTCGCTTCCAGATGCACCGCCTACATCAAATGATGAACTGATTGGTACACCAGCGGACCTAATCTTTTCTACTGCACTCTTTTCCGGTGGACGACTCCATCTTTCGCAACCACTTTTTAAATATGCTGTAGAAGCTGAGCTGTGTTTGAGTTTGAACTTTGGAAAAGTAACTCAATACGCAGCAGAAGAAGAAGATGATGTATGGCAGAGTACGAGGAAAAGGAGGCGTGAGCGAAGATTATTATAAGCTTTACCGTGGGGGAGAGGGGAAGGGGAAGGGAGGTGGAAAGAAAATGGAAGAAAATAAAAAGATAGTGCATCTTTTGAGTTGGATAATATTATCCTGTGTATCTCTCTTATAAAGACAGACAAGGGAAGATGTGGTACTGCCTTGTCTTCATCGTCAATATTCTTCTATTCGTATATGTTATTGAATCCTTTTTTTTTTTCACTTTTTCATTTTGTGTTATCACTTAGGCTACTCGCTACTATTCTGTATGCTCAAAGTGTTTTGCAGCATTAGTTGTATATAATGCTCTGACAATGTTTGAAGTGCTCATTGGGATTATTATTATTATTATTATTATTATTATTATTATTACTATTATTCTGTTGTTATTCTTTCCATCTTTATGGGTTTTGCTCCTGTGGTGCAGTTAATATCTATTTTCTCTCTCTCTCTCTCTCTGTGTGTGGAAGGTTTTTTTTTTTTTTCTTTGAGTAAGCTAAGATAAATAGTGTTAAAGGTTTTTTTTTTTTTAACTAATATCGTAATAATAAGATATGAACGCAATATCGTTGGATTCTGCAGGTCGTGTTAAAAGTGTTGCAATTTCAGTAGGTGATCTTACATCGATGGGAGAAAATAGTTATGATTCAAGTGAACAGGCAAATATTGATGACATCATTGGTGTGGCCGAGCAACTGAAAAGCACTCCAGCCCTTACACCAGTTGCCTCACAGAAATGTGCCATAAGCCAAAAACATGGTGGTACTTCTGTTCATCATTTTCTCTACACAGTACCACATCTATTTACTTTAACTGAAGATTTAATTGGAGGATTGAATATCATGGTACGTGAATACAGTGCATTAGATATCATTATAGAGGAAGGGACGGTTCTTTCGCATGTTTTTGTGCTCGCATCCGGCACTGTTGAGGTGATTAACGCGAGGGTTGGGCGCACATCAATTGTAGGCCACCGTAGAGTTGGAAGTATTACTGCACCGAATATATTCGGTATGGATGATGTTATATTGGAAAAGCCAACAGAATTTTCATATCACGCAAGTTCATCAGCCACACTTCTTCTTATATCTAAGGAACAATTCTGTGCACTTTTTAATCATTCTCCAATATTTTCCAATAGTGTGTCTGGACAAATATTACATACACTCTCAGCATTTTCTATGTTTGAAGATTTCTGTCGTTCTCTCTTTGGATTATCAACATCTTCTGTTTCGGGTCGCAGTAATTTTGGTGAGGAAGGGTATAAACTTTCAATGCCTACTGCCGTAAATATTTATAAGGCAAGTGGAACTGTATTCCACAAATTAATGCATTCTTCTTCAGTTGACACTGACGCTTTGCGTTACTGTGTTAAACGTCTACCTGAAAATATTACTGAAACCTTTGTGGTTATTGTTTCACGTACTACTACTGCATTTCTCTCGGAAGGTTTCGCTCTCACAAATACGAATCATCTTGAAATGGCAACACGATACAGACCTACTTGGAAAATTGGTGAACGAGGTCAAACAGTTGTTATTGCTCGAGATGGATTTACAGATATCATTGATTTTGTAACTAATTTATGTATGCTTATGGTAGAATCTAAAAAAATACGAATGCGTTTACAACGTCTAAGCTCTCCATTTGCCTTGGATATTTTGAGGAACTCATTAGTTGATAATGATGATGTACCTATTGATGTTGTGAAATCACTCCTTGCTAAGCTTCCCTTTTCAGAAAGTGAGATTGATGGACTGACACAGATATGGGAAGGTCCTCGAGTGATGAAAATGCTATATAATATTCTTCTTCAACGTGAAGAGTATGTGGTGTACATAGATGTCAACATGTCTAAGAAATTTGCACCGGATCCTTATTTGAATTGGAGTTTATCCATTATCCGTCATATAAGATCAGAACTTGGTCTTAAGGATGGCAATGGAGACTCTTTACCTAAAGATCTTACAATAGATATTCTATTTTCATCAAATATTACTGTCAAAACTCTTCTTTGCTCAGCATCGGAAGCCTTTAAAGATATATTAGAGGGATATAAGCTAGAGTGGGAAAAAAGTAATAATTCATCTATACATCCCAAAGATCGTGACATCTACATTTTACAGCATCTTTTAGAACAAGATGAAACATTAAGGGAAGCATACAAGGAACGTCTAAAGGCATCTGGATTTATCATGATGGAGGATTCTCGTGCATCAGCACTTATTGTGGATCTTATCAATGTTAGCAAATTAAATTTTTCAGTTATTGATGCATCTTTACGAAATAATCTTGTATCTCCTACAAATAAAAAAACTAACAATTTTATTATTAATATTGATCGAACATTTGGTGCGCAAATAGAGACCGTTTTGCGGAGCCTTATTCTTACATTTGGGGATTATATTCGTAGTGTAAATGTGAACGGAAGTGTGGCTGGTCTTGTTGGAAACCGTGGTGATGTTGTTCTTCCTACAAAGTTACTGTTTTCAAAACAGTCATTTGGAGAAGACTCCACAGATGAAACACGTAATTGCAATGTAGATGACATTGGAGAGAATGATGTGTTGCCATTCCTTGAGAATGGAACGGTTTCGCTTCATCGTGGTGCCTGTGTTACGATTCCTGGTGTCATTCTCTACAGTGATTCAGTTATGCGATTCTACAAGGTAGTTCATGGGTGCACCTCTATTGACATGCGAAGCAGTTACGTGGCGAGACAATTAGAGGAAAGCCACCGAACGGGTGTGCTCAGAAAGGGAGTTTGTAGACGATTTCTCTTTTACATGGACACTGTACCACTGAAGAATGGAGATGAAACGGAATCAGAATCAGAATCAGTAAAGCGCGACATACTCTTTTCAGTATGTGCCACCACCCGCTCGTTACTAAACATGATTCTTTCTTCTTAGATGTACTTACGACGACTTCTTCATTTCTATGGTGGGTTTTTGGAGCAAAAAAAGAAAGAAAAAAAAAA